TAATTCTTTCTGCGTAGATGTTTTTAAAATGTTCAGAAGTTGTGTAAACGTTACGATGTGACTACCTGTGGTAGTAGCTGAGACTGATCCCAGCATGTTTTATTTAAGAGCTCATTTCATTTACATTGTTTGGACTCAGTTTTGTCTGAGTGTTAGTAAAATATCTCATTAACAACAATCACTGAACATGTACAACTGTTGTGACTTGAAAAGCCACAGAAATGAAAACAAGTCAGTTTAAGATTCTGAGCTAACGTGTTGGTAGTAGCTGAGAGTTGTTCTCGTCACGTCAGGAGATCTGATGATGTTTTTTAATATTTGACCCAAACAGCCACACGTCGTTCATCATAACATGATCTGTGTTTAAAGGTCCTGTTAGAGTCATTTTGCAGATGAAAAACASGAGTCAGTCTCAGTTTAAAGTCAAATGAGTTTCAGAAATTTTAAAGAAAAATGCAAGTTCTCTGAGCACAAAGAAAAAACAGATTTAAAACAAGAATTTCAGAAATTTTCAAGGAAAAAATCCTTGAATGTTAAAAGTTGTCAAAAATTTCCACGATTAAAGGCAAAGATTTTCTATATTTAAACTAAATGGTTTTTGAATTTCCTATTTTTTTCTTAAATTTCTGAAATTAATCTAAAAAAATTTGTGATTCTTTTCACAAATTTACGACTTTCGAGCTCAGCGCTGAAATCTCAAATCTTCCAAGTTTTTGGGCACAGATTTACTCCTTCGTTTTTTGTTTTTCATCTGCAGAACGGCCCTAATAAACCGTCACAGTATTTATCTAACAGACACAACACATCACAGCTGACAGTGAACACAACAGCTCCAAAAACAAAACCCACACATTCAACTTCCTGTTAGTAAAATCTTGACACAACAGACGTTTACACTGAGGAGTCGTCTGAAACAATGAGTTCAAAGAAGGTTTTATCTGAATTGAAACATTGTCAATGATTCCTTACAGAACCTTTCATTATCAGAACCGAGCTTCATGTGGGTCGGTGGGTTCTGTCAGCTCGGCTCAGGACCTCTGATGTTTGAGTGAAAACACATCTTTATTTAACTCCATCGAATCACAGACACACCTGAAGACAGGATTTAGTAACGAATCAGAACACTCACCAGTTTAGTTTTGGTTTGTTTATTTTTACCTGGTTTTGTTCATTAAACCTGTGAAAACATTTGTTTTGGTGCCTTTTATTGAGTTATTTGGACAAGACGCAGGCTGAGACACAGGCTGAGATGGTGACAGGAAGTCAGTGTCACACAAACCTCACAGCCTTCCACAAACTTTAACACAACTGGCTTTATTCTGCAAACCATGAGCAGTTTGGGTTCAAACAAGTCTTATTGTCACAGCTTTGCATTAAGTAGAGCTTTTGGTCCAGTTTGCATTTTGTCTTTTATTATTCGATATTTTGAAGTTACTTTTTTGTTTGTTTGTTTTTTTTTTCAAGAAATGCTGGAGCAGCTTTGATAAATTGCACCTGAATCACCTCCAAGATCAGTCTGTTTATAACGAAGCAGAATGTATTTGTTTTCATCATATTTAAAAAAGTTTTTAATATTTCACCATAGGTGAACATTCAAAGAAATCAAAATGCTTTTTTTGTTTTTGTATAGTTATACACTTATGTATAACGGCTTTAAGCAATTCAATAAATAAGTTGAAATAAATGTTTTTGTGTGTTTTTTACTATCATCTACAGAGACAAGATATTTAATGTTCAAACGGATAAACTTTATTGGTTTTGCAAATATTCACTCATTTTGAATTTGATGTCTGCAACACGTCAACATAAAAACTGTGAAAATTGAGGAATGAAACACGTTGTGAGCAGAGGAGCTGACAGAGCTCTGTTTAAACTCCTCCTGCACACATTCATGTTCATCAATAAGAACAGGAAACAGTTCAAGCTACAAATCTTCAACAACTAGTGTCCCAAATCACAAACACTGAGTGATGTTAAAACTAAGAATATAATAATTAGTTGTGTGTAACAATCATCAGGTTCAAATATAGAATAATTTAATGATAAAATCATTAAGCGTTTGAAAGGAGTTGTAATAAAACAGTTTTTTGTGTGAGGATGTTAATATTAATTCTTTATTCTAATTGAAAAGCTGAATAAATCCTGCATTACAGTGGATATCTAGTTATTTGAAAAATAGGAAAGGGTTTGTTTTTATATAAATGATGTAAGATCTGAATTATGTAATATTACAGGTGGAGTTCCTCAGGGTTCCGTGCTTGGACCAAAACTGTTTACGTAAATGTGTCAGGACTTCTGAAGTGTTTTATTTGCAGATACCACATTTCTTTGTTCAGGAGAAAATATTAGATGGATATTGGAGATGATACAGGCAGAATTTGTGAAAATACAAACCTGGTTTCAACCTAACATGTTACAATAAATTTGGATAAAACAAACTACATGATATTTGGTAAATTAAATAAAACTATTGATGTCCCTGTTAAAGCTGATGGTGTTGAGATTTATAGTTAGTAAAGTGAAGTTTTTGGGTGTTGTCACTGATGAAAAGCTGACATGGAAATCTTATATAAACTCCTTAAGAATATAAATAGCAAAGTCAAGTCATTAATAAATGATAAAGTGCTTTTTATATTATATAATGTAATGAGTCTCCCACATTTAATTTACTGTATTAAAGTTTAAGGGAAAGCATGCACAACAGTTACAATCCTATTTTTATTTTACAGAAAAGAGCTGTAAAAATTGTTAGAAAATTGTGAAGTCATCCAACAAACACATTATTTTATCAGTTTAAATGATTGAAGTTTCGTGATTTGACTGATTATAGTATTTTACAAGTAATGTAAACAGCTCATAAAAAATATTACAAATATTCAGTCAAAATTTGTTGAAAGAAAATCATTACCAACTTAAGGGAATGGAGTTTTTTTTTTTATAAAAGCTCCTTTTCAAACTCGTCTGAAGAGGAGATGTTCTGTTATTTCCAGAACAGGTTGGAATTTGCTACTTTTATAAAATCCTCAAACAATATTTATGCTAAAAAGTATGATTAAGTTAAAGTAATAGGGAAAATATTCTGTGTTGTCTAGTGGAAATAAGATGTTTTTGTTTGTTGAAGTTAGTATGAGGC